GCCGCTAGATCTCCACCGCAGGTTTCCTTCCCACACCCAGAGTTCCTCAAATTCGACCTCCCTGTGGGCCCGGGTTCAACTCCCCCAAAGTTCGATTGCATCATAGAAGAACTCGATTTCAAAATCTTCAAACTCACCACAACTCAGATATCCCACTTAAAGGACAATATTACTAAGACCTCCAAAATTCACAGAATTAGCACCTTTGCGGTGGTGGCCGCCCTCATTTGGCGGTGCAAAGCCTTTTCCGATGATAAAAATAGGGTTTCGACTTTGCTCAATGTTATCGACATTAGGCCAAGGGTGAACCCCCAATTGCCATCTTCGTACTCGGCCAATGCAGTGCTTCCCTTGGGAGTTTCGGAAACTTGTGAAGAGATACAAAATGGGGCGTTTTCGAAGCTTGTGGAGATTATCACTGAAGGGGCTAAAGAGATGACGCACGAGTACGTGAAATCGGCTTTCGATTGGTTGGAGTTGAATAGAGGGATTCCGCATGGGGATTATATGGTGAGCTCATGGCTTAGATTAGGGTTTGATGAGGTGGAGTATGCATGGGGGAAGCCGATGTACAGTTGTCCGGTGGTCAATCATCGGAGGATATTTGTTGGGTTTTTCGAGATGCCGTTGATGGTGGTGTTTCTGCAATGGTGGCTTTGCCTTCTCAAGAGATGAACATATTTGAGGCTGTTTTTCATGACTTCTTTGCTTCAATATAATATTTGTTTGAGTTTGGAAATTCTTCAATAATGAATAATTTGATGTGTGCATGCAAATATGTAATATTGTTCTTTGTGTGGTTTATTGTTGTGCGTTTAATTGGGTTTGATTGTTCATCTAAAGTGCTTCATTTTGGATATACGATGGTTTTGATTTAAGTTGTGTACTATATATGCACAGTGGCGAGTCTAAGTATTTGTTATATGACGAGTCTAAGTATTTGTTATATGATGGGTTTAAATTTTCAGGTGGTTCAAGAATAGCCTCCATAAAAAATATTGATTTTTTTGTTCAATAATGTAAGACAAATTAAACCATAAAAATAGGAAAGGTGAAAAAGAAAAGAAATTTATTTCCGACTTTTTTGCACTAATTTAGTTCTTTGGGTGGGCTAAATAAAAATTAGGCGGGCTGAATAAAAATATATAGTGTTAGAATTTATTTCGTGCAAGTATTAATTATTTGTGTTAGATACACTTTTTTGTTACTGTTGCGTAAAGTGTTGTAACATATGTAAAACAGTTTGTAACAACATAAATAAACGAGACACAAATTTAACATATAGGACGATCTGTGTTGACAGGGGCGGCTGAGGACGGCAATGGGTGCGGGTTTGTCGGGTCTGAGACTCCAACCGACCCAGTTGGGGCGAATTTAGGTAAGTTAAAAATGGTTCTTGGTCAAGTAATGAATTTTAGTTTCTAGAACCGGATATTCTGGATCGGGTTACGAGTTTTATTGAGCCGACCTAGAACCAACCCGTATAAATATATTATAGTTTGTAGAAGTTAATAAATATAATTAATTAGATAAGTTTATTACTCACTATAAATTACTTCCAAAATATTGCATTCTAATTTTGAGATTCTTTTTGTTAAAATACACAAGCTTTTAAATTATTTCCAAAATATTGCATTTTAATTTTGAGATTCTTTTTGTTAAAATATACAAGCACAAATATTATGAAAGTTAAAAAATGTTAAACTTTCTGTTTGATGTTAACGGGTCTAGCTAGCAGGTTTGGCGATTTAGAACCGTTTAATTCAGGTATGATTCGGAGCGAGTTTGGGTTTAGGCTAAAACAGGTTGGAGCGGATCAGAGTTTTATATATTTTTCATGGATCAGATCTCGAATTTAGACAAACTCGCTCCAAAACCGACCCATTGCCATTCCTAACAGGGGCCGGATCCAACTAGTTGACTAAAAAAAAAAAAGAGGAAGAAATTAATTAGTCATGTTTGGACTAGCCCATTGTGATATTAATTTCGTAGAGCCCAAATTTGTTGTGTACATTATTTTGAAATCCAAACTGATAACTAATTAATAAATCTATGATATGAAATTAGTATTTGATAGCTTATCTCAGAATTTAGATATCAACATATAAAGCAAAAGGGCCAATAAATCTTGTCTATGTACACGCATAAAATTGATTAATTGATAAATTAAATTAGCCAATTAAATTGTGTCTAAATTAAATTATAATTTTTCTTGTAAAATAAGTTATGGAGATAATTATCAATTAATTATTAGCCAATAGAATTATTTCTTCTCTTCCAAGTTATACGAAATAAATATCAATTTCAAGAGAGCCAATCAAATCGCGCCACATCATCAAGAAGACTTTATGTAGGACTTTTATTCTACCACTATAAATAGGGACCCTCTCTACATAATTCAAAACAGAACACAAGAAGAAGAAAAACGTAGGAGAAAATTCTCTCTACAATATTCAAGTCGTTCATCATCAAATTCAAGTTGTTCTTCATCAAATTCAAGTCGTTCTTCATTAAATCAAGGGCGTCGTTCTTCATTAAATCGAGGGTGTCGTTCTTCATCAAATCGAGGGCGTTCTTCAACAAATCAAGATCGAAGGAAGATTGAAGGGCCAAATCCATCAAGAACTCCGAGATCTTCAAGTCAAAATCCGTCAAAGTTCAGCGTTCGATTCGAGATTCAAGTCGCAAGACCCTCGGAAGACGTTACTCAAATCCAAATCAAATCCGGAGAAGATCAAGTCAACGACCCGACTCCGAAACTCAAAGCCAAACACATATTGTTCTTGAGAGAAGAATCAGAGGATTAAATTAGAGTTTGTAACCCGCAACATTTATTTTAATTTCAATAAAATTATCTTTGTGCACGTATTTGTTGTTTGTTTAAATCGCATATAAGAATTTGTTTCTACAGTGTAATTATAGTGTAATTATGATGTGGTGATACAATTGAAATCACATGAATGGTGATTCATTAATTAATTATGATTTCGTTGGTATATTTTATTTTTTTTGTGAAAAAACGCACTTTATTAGGCAATGTACGCCAAATTAGGTGGGAGAACAAGATCCTCCACCACGTTATTACAAGGAATTTGAGCAATAGCGTGGGCTAGTTTATTACCCGAACGCTTCGTTAAATTAAAAGAGCAATACTAAAATTCTCTCCATCGCAAAGAGCTTTAATAACTTGAAGACAGCCCCCCTCGATGACAATATCAGGCCAGCCTCTATCTAGGCCATGGAAATGGCTTTGAGGGCCGCCAAAGCTTCCAACAAATGCATAGACTAGACACGGCCACGGGCCGGTTCGGGCCGGTTCATACCGGTTCACGGTTCACTTTTTCCGGAACCGGAACCGGCCCGTAATATGCACGGTTCGGCTGGCCGGTTCCAAGTCGGCCCGGAAAATTTGAATTTTTTTTTTTAATTTTTTTTTAATTTTTCTTTTTGAAATATTTGATGAATAAGTAAATTATAGGAAAAATTGGGGTGTGAGGGTATTTATAGGAAAAATTGGGGGGGGGGGGGGGGAATTCAAAAAAAAGCAAATAACGGCCGGTTCGGGACGGTTCGGGCGCCGTTATTTGCTTTTTTTTGAATTTTTTTGAATTTTTTTTCTAAATCCGGGGGAACTGCCGGGTCGGCCCGGCGGTTCACGGTTCACCATTTCATAGAACCGGGCCCCTCCCGGGGACGACGGGCCGGTTCACGGGTTCCGGGCCGGTTCACCGGTCAACAAGTTGGGCCGGGTCGTCAACGGGCCGGTTCCGGGCCCAAAACCGGCCCATGGCCGTGTCTAGCATCGACCATCCTCATTCCTAGCTATGGCTGAGAGTGAGATCCATTGTTGCCCTCGTGGTAGAGCTGCGTCAAAATTCACCTTGACTCGACCTTGCAATGGCGGAATCCACTCGCTGGGGTGAAAGGTCTACATCTTTGAATTCGGCTGGAGCTGGGCACTCTTAAAAGTAGCAAGATAAACCTTACACCAACTCACCATTTCATTCACATGGAGAGCTTCTTCTCTTTTGATTTCTTTATTACGTCGATCCCACGCTTTCCACGCCAAAACTTGTCTGCCCCTAATAACTTTTGAACGCAACAAACCAATTCCACATGGACGAAGTGTCAACATGGTGAAGATCATCGCAAAAGGGTAAGTTTCAAATAGCTTCCATTCCTCGGCATCGCAATATAACATGCAGGGCAAATTCTTCTTCTCTATTACACCGATCACACCATGGTGAAGCAACAATCTTCCGTCTAAATAACTCCACTTTAGTTGGCAAAATACCCGCTATATGTGCCAAATAAACAACTGGATTTTTGGAGGAATAGAGAGACTCCATATAATATGCCATTTACAAATTCCAGTCCCACTACTTGAGTCTTCTCTGCCACGTCGTTGATTCACTAGGTTGGAAAAATGAGAAAGAACCTACCGGAATAGCCAAGATACGTTCCACGTCCACCGGCCAAAACAATCATTTATCAGCTGCAAATTCCAAGAATTTGTATTCGACTCGATTAAAACTGAGACCCTATTCAGAAAAAGAATTCCAAAAAAAAATTAAAAACATTGACTGATTATTAAAAAAAAAATAAAAAAATTGATACTGATACTCATATCAATTTAGTTCTATTAATAGGTACACGAAATTAATCATCAAATTAACTGGTCGACAAATTAAAATTCTCTATACATGAGTTACACAATATATAAATTCAAATCCTACTTTCATTTTTTTTCTCTCATCACCTTTTATTAGCGTATATATATATTATTATTATTATTATTGATTATATTATATATCTCTTAGTTACCTTGTGTAATAGGTTAGGGTTTCCTACATGTAACTATATATTTGATTAATATACGTGAGAGACATAATTCTCTCTTTCTCCAACTCTATTTCCCCTATATCGTATCATACACTAGGTTAACCTAGCCATCGCCACTACCCTCCCCTTCTCAGCCGCCGTCACCTCTCTCTTTCTCCATGGCCGGCGACGAAGCTCCTCCCTCCACCGCCCCTCTCAATCTTTTCCACCTTTCTCATGCCATCTCCAATATCAAATCTCACATCCCCGTCATCCTAGATCTGAAAAATCCCATCTATCAAAAGTGGAGCCATTTTTTCACAATTACCGTCGGTCATTTCTGCCTCTCCAATCTTCTCCATGGAAAACCCCAACCCGACTCAATTTCTGCTGATGAATGGCAACACCCTGACTATCTCCTCCAATCTTGGATCTGCGGCACCATCTCCGATGATTTGTCCAGCATGGTTCTCTCCAAAGCATCCACTGCCAGTGATCTCTGGACCGCCATCTCCTCTTTCTTCACCGACAATAAAGATTATCGGGCAATTCAACTTGAAGAGAAATTCAAATCCCTCAAGAACGGCACTCTCTCCATTCACGATTATTGCCAAATAATGAAAACCACGGCGGACAGCTTGGCTGATGTCGGAAATCCAATCTCCGACGAACAAATCGTCCTACAAACTCTACACGGGCTTCCGAAAAATTACGGGACCGTCGCCAATCTCATCTCCTTTCAGAATCCCCTTCCCACTTTTCTTCATACTCGATGGCTTCTTCAGATGGAAGAAACTAGACTTGCTGAACCTGAACAGACCGCTGTTGTTTTCTATGCCTCAAATGCGAACTAACCATCCAACAGTTGCAACAGTTCCTGCAACACTCCCGCGGAGGTGGTTCTTCGGGCTATCAGCGCGGGGGTGGCTGATTCAATTGTCGCGGAGGTTGCGGCACTAACCATCACCCCATACAGCACTACGGCTACCATAGTGCTCGAAACACATCTCAACCCTGGCGCGCACCTTACCGACAGCAGTCGTTCCCGTCAATTCTAGGACCCGCTCCAAATACATCAGGCCACCCATCCACTCCAGCGGCTCAAGCCTACCTCACTGGACCACCAGAACCCTACACCTGCCACTCGGCCCCTGCTCAGGTTCATTCCCAACAGCAGCCATGGCACAGCTCTAACAATTCCATCAACTGTTGCAACAATTCATGTAACAGTGCCAACGTGGTGGATCTAGCAAATCATTTGAATACAGTGACACTTCAGCAGCCTACCGAGTCACAGTGGTTCATGGACAGCGGGGCGACCTCTCATATGGCACCACACTCAGGTAATTTCAATTTTGTTTTTAATCCTAGCAGTAATTTCCCCAAACATATCGTCGTCGGTAATGGTTCCACCCTCCCCATCACCCACATAGGCCACACAATTCTTCCCACCACTCATTTCCGCCTCACAAATATCTATGTCACACCCAATATCATCAAACACCTTATATCTGATTAAAAGTTCACCCGCGATAACTCATGTTCGGTTGAATTTGACCCGTTTGGTTTTTCTGTGAAGGATTTTCAGAGTCGAGTCGAGATTTTCAGGTGCAATAGCTCCGGTGACCTATATACATTTGGTGTCCCTTCTCCCACCTCACCTCCCGCTTCTTTCCTCACTGTCTCAACACCTTCGTATCAAACTCTTTGGCATCGGCGTCTAGGCCATCCCGACAAACACGTCATGTCCCATTTATTTTCTAGCACTTTTCTTTCTCATAATAAAGACCATAGGGAGTCTCTTTGTAATGCCTGTCAATTAGGCAAACATTTTCGTTTACCATTTTTTTTCTGAAAAATCTACTACTGTTGCTCCATTTCAAATTATTCATGCTAATTTATGGACTTCTCGTGTCTCTAGTCTTACAGGTATCAAATACTATCTTGTGTTAGTTGATGATCTTACCCATTATTTATGGACTTTTCTCTTCGAAATAAATCTGACGTTTTTACAACCTTTGTCAATTTTCATACACTTCTAAAAAATCAAGTCCAACATCCCCTCAAAGCTTTACAAAGTGATAATGGCCGTGAATTAAAAAATGTGGATTTTCAAAACTACTTTACTAAACACGGCATCTTAAATCGTTTTTCGTGTCCCCACACCTCCCCTCAACACGGACACGCAGAACGAATGATCCGCATTATAACCAACATGATTTGATCCCTCATGTTTCAAGCTCATCTTCCTCCTACTTATTGGGTTGAAGCCTTTCATATGGCCACCCACCTACTCAACATCTTACCTACCAAAACCACACAAAACCGGACCCCTCACGAAGCTTTTTACCTCACCAAACCTACACACTCTCATTTTTGAGTATTCGGCTGTCTATGTTATCCCAACCTTACGGCCACCACACTACATAAACTCACCCCCGTTCTACTCCTTGTGTCTATCTTGGTCACCCTTCCTCTCACAAAGGAGGCCCGCATCATAATTTCTCGTCATGTTACCTTCGACGAAACTCACTTTCCTTTTGTTGAGTTAACTCCCCCCACAAACACTCCCTACCTCTGCCTTGGACGAAAACACACCCTCCATGTTCCTCCTCTCTCAGATTTCGTCTAACTGTTGCAATAATTCATCCAACTGTTCCAACAGTGAACCACCCTGTGCCAACAGTTCGTCCAACAGTCCTACAATACAGCCGACACATGTTTCACGTGCGGCACCACTTCACGACCACGACCAGCTCACAACCCCTGCTCCTATTCCCATATCTCCTTCTCCTACTCCCACACCTCCCTCACCTCCCCCTGTTCATCCTATGGTGACTCGCAGTAAAGCGGGCATCCACAAACCCAAAGTCCCTTTATCTCTAGTTGCGTCCTCTACCTCTTCCATTCCCACCAACTATCGCCAAGCTCTTCTTGACCAAAATTGGTGAAACGCCATGATTGAAGAATATACTGCTTTAATTAAAAACAATACTTGGAATGTTGTCCCCTGCCCCCCGTTCACTAATGTTATTTCCGGTAAGTGGATATACAAACAAAAACTCAAGTCTGATGGCTCCCTTGAGCGATACAAAGCATGTGGGTTGTTCGCGGTTTTCACCAGTGTTAAGGGTATATTTTTACACTTTATCGTACCTTTTTATTTGAGCTTTTGGTGTGTTTTAACGATAATTGGTGCTTGAAAAGTTGATTTATTGTATTTTAGGTACAAATTGAAGAATTGGAAAAGTATGGGATCAAAACTGCAATTTTGGAGAAAATTTTGGCCAAAAGTGTAAAAATCAAAATTTTGAAGATTTAAATCTCGGACGGCCGTCCGAGTTTTAGTTCAAATTGTGGGACGGCCGACCGAGACCCCGAGGCAGCGCAGTAAAGGGATTCTAATTGCACAAGGAAACTGCCTTCTTGCCCAAGTTTTTCACCCTATATAAGACCAAGCCAAGCACACAATTGGGGATCTTTTACGCAATTTCAAGAGCAACAAAGCAATAATGAAGACGAAGAATTCGAAAACTCCAAGCATAGACTTATCGTTTATGATTAATTTTATTTGTGTTTTTCCTTTAATTATGAGTAGCTAATTTTTTTATTTCTAGGATTTTGGAACCCTATGTGGGATTTATGAACCCAATTCTATGACTTTGACGAGACTTTTAGCCCAGTTGTCAAACCGACCACTGTTCAAACAGTTCTCAGTATTTCTCTCTCACGATCATGGCCAATCATCCAACTTGATGGGAAAAATGTCTTCTTACGTGGCAATCTCTCTGAAACTGTCTACTGCGAGCAACCTCCCGGATTCGTCGATCCATCTCGCCCCACTCACACGTGTCGTCTCAACAAAGTTCTCTACGGTCTCAAGAAGGCACCCCGTGCTTGGTATAAGCATTTTGCCTCTAACATTACCACCATGGAGTTCAGAGAATGCATGCCCGACACTTCACTCTTTGTGTACTGTCGTAACAGTTCACTCGCCTGTCGCAACAGTTCACGCGAGTGTCGCAACAGTTCATGCACCTACCTTCTACTGTATGTCAATGACATTGTACTTACGGCCTCCACACCTGAATTGCTCCGCTCTATCATTGCTGCCCTTAATCAAGAGTTCGCAATGAAGGATCTTTGCGATCTTCACTACTTTCTCGGCATCTCAGTCACTCACTCGTCGAATGGGTTGTTTCTCTCTCAACGCAAGTATGTCGACGAGATACTAGAGCGTGCACACATGGCTTCATGCAACCCTTGTCTTACGACGGCTAACACAAAGAGCAAATTATCTTCGACCACTGGACCCCCCGTTGCTGACACTACACTCGATCGCAGCCTTGTCGATGCACTGCAATATCTCACTTTTACTCGTCCCGACATTTGCTATGTTGTGCAATAAATATGTTTATTCATGCATGATCCGAGGGAACCTCATATGGCTGCTCTCAAGGGTATTCTTCACTACATTCGTGGCACTCTCGACCACGGCCTTCTCCTCTCCCCCAATCCGGACCTCTCTCTTATTGCTTACTCCGACGCTGATTGGGGTGGATGTCCTTGTTAGAGTAGGTGACCGGCAAGCCAACTTGTGGCTGTGGTCTTTCTCTTTTCTTTGTAATAAAACAATCGTTTTTCGTTCGTAATAATAAAATATCTTATTTGGCATTCTATATCTGTTATCCCATGCAAGCAGCATAGATATAGTCCTAACGAGTTACTCTATTACTGTGAGTTGATCTAGTAGAATCGTGAGATAACTCAGCAATGTAATGTAACTGTTAAACCTTGTTCCTAGTCGATGGGTTACGCCAATAATGAGGATACCGGCCTTTCCCTTTTGAGACTAGCACTTAGTGTATGTGTACTGCGTCTCATCAGTCCTCGGTGTTGTGACATCGGCATACTTGAGTGGGTGCTCATACTGGATGAGTTCACTGAACTCCCTCGCCCTAGAAATCTATAAGTGGTTCTCATTCATCGAGTAATAGATTTCTAAGATATAGTTGTACACCATTAGTCCTTAAGACCCAGACATCACCGTGACTTCACTAGAGGACCGATTGTATCGTGACCTGTCCCTGAGTCCCACCGCGGACCGCTCCAAGGGCCAACGTTCGTGCAATCCGAAATCTAGTGTGAAGTCTGTGCATTGTAGTAGGGGATTCGAGCGCTTGAGTAGTCATGGATGTCCTGTGTGTTCTGACGGTTTATAATCCATGGAATCTCTGGCCAGAGTTGATAGTGGGGTGATTAGGGAAATGTGTTTCCCTAAGTCGCACACGAACGGATTTATAATACCTAGAACGTTCGCACGGTTATTGAACTTTATAAGAGGTCTCGGTGAACCAATGCCTCTAGTTCAATCGGGACATGTGCTACGAAGGGATCGTACTGTACGCTAACTATATCATAAGGTTCTTGCAGGCACTTCATTTGTATCTAGGGAATCATGATGCGTAGTTGCTAGACGCCAATCTTGATTCGTTGGGCACCGATTTGATCGGGATTAGGTAAAATGAGTTTTACTCTAATCGGGACTCTTGGGAGGAGTTCGTATAAGAACAATATGTTGTTCGAATCACAATGAGTTGTGAGCCCACGGCTAGCATACACCTGAACCATTGAGGGTCACACTTCTCGTGTAACATGGATCCTTGATAACAATGAGCATAGATTAATATGTTAATCTTTGCAAAGTTGGAGGTCAATATGATTGAGTCCAAGATTCGTGATTGTGGATTACGAGTCGGAATAAACGTAGAGAAAGAGATATGCGGAAATTAGTGAACTTTCTAAATTGAGAAGTTTCCCAATTTAGCAGGTCCACTAAAGTGGAAGTTTCCAATTTTGGAAATTGGAAATTTCGAAGAGGCACTCGTATCGACGAGGACTTTGAGCTCGTCACAAATATAATTTTGTTATAATTTTGTGGACGATCGTTTATTAGAAACGAGGCCGACGAGGGAATGGGCTTAATGCATCAGTGGGTCAAGCCCAATGACTTAAGCCCGCTAGGGTTGAAAACCCTAGGTATAAATAGACCTCAAACAAGAGTTTGAGATCAGATTTTTACACAACAAAACCCTAGCCGCTCAAGCCCTAGCCGTCCTCCCTCTCGGCCGCTGCTGCCCCGCCGCACCGCCGCCGTCCGCCGCCGGAATCCGCCGGTTTTTCCCTCTCCTTTCTCTATCGTATTCCCTTGTTATCTAACCCCTTTGTATCTAGTGCTACAGTAGGGGGAGATCCGTTTATTCGAGGTGAAACCTAATTGGAGAGGAGCTGCTGCCCCGACGGAATTGCCACACCGCCGCACGCGCCGCTGCACCGCCCACGCGCCGCCGCCGTTGTCACGCACGCGCCGCCGTCGCTCCACCTTCGGACCAGCTGCCGTTCGGTGGTGTTCCTGCAGCCCCGAGGATTGGTAATCGCAGCTTGTACGTGATTGGTTCTTGATTTCGATTCGTCGAAATCTCACGCTACAAGAGGTAAACAAATCGAAACTGTCGTAAATTAATTCGAACATATTTGTATGAATTGTAATTTATGATTATGAGTAATATGCGATTACGTGTTTCGATTTCATTAAATGATGTATAAGCATGTTTCGTGATTTTCGATTATACGTATTTTCAATTAAATCGAAAATTACCATATGTATGGCGGAAGCGTTAAGGTACGTTGACTATGTGATTAGTTTATGCATGTAATCGAAATTAGTTCGATCTAAAAATTTTAAATTCCGCTGCGTATACATGCACGATACCCAACAGTGGTATCAGAGCCACGGGTTAATCGTTTATTTGTCAACGTGTTTATCGTTTTCGAAAGCATGCTTCGATTTGTTGAATTGTTGAATTATTGGTGTTATCTAATTGGGTGTTTTAATATTAATAAAATATTTTGAATATTTCAGAAAATATTATAAATTTTTAATTTTGAAAAAATTCGATTTTATTGCTGTTTTTCAGCTGACCGAACCGGTCCGGTCGGACCGGTCCGACCGGTCCGGTCAGCACAACAACAACAAAAAAAAAAAAAAAAAAAATTTAATTTGATTTTCTGAAATTAATATTAAAAATTAATTGATTTTTAATTTTTGAAATTATTTATCAATTAAACCCAAATTAGATAATTGATCCATTAATTTAATTTGAATTCAAAGAATAGTGTTGGATTAATTATTTAATTTAATCGTTAAATTAGTTTAATTAATGGAACACAAAATTAGATAGCAAATAATTAATGGACTTCATTCTTATTTTAATGATTTATGAATGAAGGAGGTCCGTTAATTATATTTGCAATTTATCGTATTAATTAATTAATTCATGAGATGAATAATTGTGATTAAGTACGATGATGATCGTATGTCTCTCTTAGGATCAATATGCGTTTCCACATACCTAGAGAACATAGTTGTAGGAATCACAAACGATCATAACCTAAAACTTCCGATGAGCTAATAAGATTTAATAAATAAAATCCCTCATTCTTAATTAAGAATAATTATCAAGCTATAAAGAAAAACCAAATTGTTGAATTTTTCTTTCCTTCTACCAACAATTAAATTATGTGTAGCCTCTCATAATAGTGCAGTAAGCCGTGTTAGCGGGGAGTGCTATTGTGGGATAAGCTGTAATTTAATTGACATTAGATGGAGATACGGTCATAGATAAAATTATGTTGGAATAATGTGGTCGGCTAGATTAACTAGGGATTGCATTAGTTTGATATAGTTGGATCTATGACATCTCATATTGGTAGGCTAGACTTGACACACGAAGATTTTGATATTCGCTAGATTAACTTAGGTCATTATCAAGTGTGAGGTAAATCGATCTTTAGGGTCACATAGTGATGTGATTGATAGTACTCTACCTTTAGGCTTATGTAATCGGGATAGATTAACTACGGGTTACATTAGCGCTATTGGACCTAAAGCCCATTAAAGAAAAATAAGTTTTCTCGATTGTCTGCTAGAGGGTGGTGGAATTCGATAAAATTAGTGGGAGAACAATTAAAACATAAAAGTCCAAAATTTTAATTGTAACGATTATTACGAACTAAACTCTAATTATTGTCTTCTTAAAATTTTCTCAGCAACAATGTCCAAACATCCCCTTTCCTCAATCCTCGACCAAAACAAACTCACCGGTCCAAACTATTTGGATTGGCTTCGAAATCTGAAACTTGTGCTCCAAGTCGAGGAGCGTCTCTATGTGCTCAATGAACGTCCCCCCGCTGCTCTTCCTGCGACTGCTACTGCTGACGAGACTGCCACTTTCGAGGCATGGAAGAAGGACGACCTCCATGCGAGGTGCTACATGCTAGCATCCATGGTGCCAGAGCTCGCGAGGAAGTATGAGTCTCACGTGCATGCTTATGATATCAAGCATCATCTTGAAAGCATGTACAGTGAGAATACTAGGGCATCGAGGTACTGAGCTACCAAGGAGTTGATCACCATGAGGCTGCGTGAAGGGGCTTCGGTCCACGAGCACGGTCTCAAGATGATCACTCTCCTTGAGAAGTTGGTGAACCTTGATGTCACCCTCCCGGCCGAGCTCTCAGTGGATTTGATCCTACTGTCCCTTCCTAGTTCTTATGAATCGTTCATAGTGAACTTCAACATGAACAAGCTCGATCCACCATTGGATGAGTTGTTGAACATGTTGGTTAGCTATGAGTCCACGATCAAGAAGGAGAAATCTGTTCTCCTAGTTGCTCCTTATGTGAAGAAAGGTTCTTTCCAGAAGAAAAGGAAAGAAAGAAATTTCGGCCCGAGCAAGAAACTTGAGAAGGGCGAGTCGAGCGGAGTGAAGAATGACAAGGTCACCAAGCAAGTTGATGACGCTTGCCATCATTGTGGAAAGAAGGGCCATTGGCGACGCAACTGCAAGGCTTACCTCGATCAGAAACGTTCTGAAAAGGGTACGTATTTAGTTGAAGTTAACTTGTCCGTTAAATCTTCTGCTTGGGTATTGGATACTGGTTGTGGCTCACATCTTTGTAATGATTTGCGGCTCATGACAAGAAGTAGGAAGCTTAATGTGGGTGAGACCTACCTAAGAATGGGCAACGGAGCAAGGGTTGCTGCTGAAGCCATTGGGACAATTTATCTTTCTGTTTTGGATTCTAGTTTTTCCATTGTTTTGAACAATTGTTTATTTGTTCCGTCACTTATTCGAAACCTTATTTCTATTCCTGTTTTGGATAATGAAGGTTTTACTTTTGTTTTTGGAAATTCGATTTGCATTATACAAAAGGAACAAAATATGATTTGTAAGGGACAACTTATAAACAACTTATATGAACTGAATCCAAGTGAAATACCTATTAACGTTATATCAGCAAAACGAAAAGATATAAGTCTTAACCCCGCACAACTTTGGCACGCTCGACTAGGTCACATTTCCTTGAGAAGGATGAACAAGTTTGTTAGTGAAGGAATGTTCTCCTTGGAGGACGTTAAATCACTTCAAACTTGTGTATCCTGCCTTAAAGGAAAAATGACCAAGACTCCCTTCAAAGGGAAGATGGAACGCGCCGAGGGTCTTTTGGATTTGATCCATTCAGACGTGTGTGGTCCACTAAGCGTTAGTGCTAGGGGTGGTTTTAACTACTTCGTTACCTTTACCGATGATTATTCTAGGTATGGTTTCGTGTACTTAATGAAGTATAAGTCTGAAACTTTTGAAAGGTTCAAAGATTTTAGACACCAAGTACAAAACCAACTCGGTAGACGTATTAAGAAACTACGATCCGATCGTGGTGGCGAATACTTAAGTACTGAGTTTATAGACTATCTTAAAGAGAATGGGATTCTATCTCAATGGACTCCTCCTGGAACTCCTCAACTTAATGGAGTTTCCGAACGTCGGAATCGAACACTGTTAGACATGGTTCGATCTATGATGGGGTTCACCGAGCTACCGGCATACCTGTGGGGTCATGCACTCCTAACTGCCGTGTATTTGCTGAATAGGGTTAATACCAAAGCAGTTGACTCCACACCTTATGAACTTTGGCACTCCAAGAAACCCACGTTTAAACATATTAGGATATGGGGTTGTCCCGCTTACGTGAAGCGGCTAGTGGGAGATAAGTTGGATAGAAAATCCGACCTATGCTATTTTGTGGGGTATCCCGAGGATTCCATGGGATACGAATTCTACTATGTTTCCGAGGCAAAGGTGTTCGTCTCGAGAAATGCCGTGTTCCTTGAGAAGGAATTTCTATCGGATAGAAAGGGCAGTGTAGTTGATCTCGAAGAAGTTCGAGAACCACAATCTGAAGTTCAAGCACAACAATCAGATAATGAACCAATTCAACAAACCACTAATATACCTCCTGAACCGTCGCTGCGTAGATCCGAAAGAGTTCGGAGAGCGCCCGATAGGTTATTCCTCGTTGATGAAGTTGACCAAGGATGTGATCCTAGAACTTTCAACGAAGCTGTATTGAATACAGACAAGGGACATTGGCTTAATGCCATGGAATCCGAAATGGACTCTATGTACTCCAACAAGGTATGGACCTTGGTAGATCCACCCGAGGGAATTGTTCCCATAGGCTGCAAGTGGATCTATAAGAAGAAAATTGGAGTAGATGGAAAGGTATCGACCTACAAGGCTAGATTGGTAGCGAAGGGTTATACTCAAAAGCAAGGAGTTGACTATGAGGAAACCTTCTCTCCAGTTGCTATGCTTAAGTCCATTAGGATTTTGCTGGCCATTTCTGCGTGGTATGACTACGAGATATGGCAAATGGATGTGAAGACCGCTTTCCTTAATGGGGACATTGAGGAAGAAATTTACATGGCGCAGCCGGAAGGCTTCATATCTTCTGGAGATGAGCAAAAGGTTTGCAAACTCCAGCGATCCATTTATGGATTGAAACAAGCATCCCGTAGTTGGAACAAAAGGTTCGACACAACTATCAAAGAGTTTGAATTTGTGAAAAACCCGGAGGAACCTTGTGTCTACAAGAAGGTTAGTGGGAGTGCAGTGACTTTTCTTGTACTTTATGTTGATGACATACTACTCATTGGGAATGATGTAGGGATGTTGCAGTCGACTAAAGTATGGTTATCCACACGTTTCTCGATGAAGGATTTGGGAGAAGCGTCCTACGTATTGGGAATACGGATCTATAGAAATAGATCGAGGAGATTGCTTGGCTTGTCCCAATCCATGTACATAGACACCGTTCTCAAACGGTTTAGCATGGAAGAATCCAAGAAGGGATTCTTGCCAATGTCCCATGGGGTTCGTCTCTCGAAATCCATGCGTCCTCAAACGCAAATGGAAATCGAGGAGATGAAAAGGACACCTTATGCATCCGCTATAGGAAGCATAATGTATGGCATGCTATGTACACGACCTGATATTGCGTATGCTGTGAGCGTCACAAGCAGATATCAGTCCGACCCCGGCCCAGCCCATTGGAAGGCTGTGAAGGACATTCTCAAGTACTTGCGAAGAACTCGAGATTTGTTTTTGGTCTATGGGGATACCGAGTTGAAATTAGAAGGCTTCACGGATTCTAGTTTTCAATCGGACGTGGATGACTCAAAGTCAAACTCGGGGTATATATTCAAAGTCAACGGAGGTGCCGTGTGTTGGAAGAGTTCCAAACAAGGCACGACGGCTGATTCCACCACCGAGGCTGAATATATTGCAGCATCAGATGCTTCAAAGGAAGGGTCATGGATTAGGAAATTCATCCAAGAGTTGGTGTATTTCCGAACGCTAGCGATCCAGTACGGCTGTACTGCGATAACAACGGAGCCGTAGCGCAAGCTAAGGAACCAAGAGCTCATCAGAAGTCGAAGCACGTGTTGAGAAAATACCATGTGATCCGAGAGATCATAGAGAGAGGTGAAGTCAAGCTAGACAGAGTCACCTCGGAGGACAATATTGCAGATCCCTTCACCAAGCCATTGTCAGGATCAGTCCACGAGAAACATCGAGAGTCGATGGGACTTAGATTTATGAGTAGTTGGCTTTAGGTTAAGTGGGAGATTGTTAGAGTAGGTGACCGGCAAGCCAACTTGTGGCTGTGGTCTTTCTCTTTTCTTTGTAATAAAACAATCGTTTTTCGTTCGTAATAATAAAATATCTTATTTGGCATTCTATATCTGTTATCCCATGCAAGCAGCATAGATATAGTCCTAACGAGTTACTCTATTACTGTGAGTTGATCTAGTAGAATCGTGAGATAACTCAGCAATGTAATGTAACTGTTAAACCTTTTTCCTAGTCGATGGGTTACGCCAATAATGAGGATACCGGCCTTTCCCTTTTGAGACTAGCACTTAGTGTATGTGTACTGCGTCTCATCAGTCCTCGGTGTTGTGACATCGGCATACTTGAGTGGGTGCTCATACTGGATGAGTTCACTGAACTCCCTCGCCCTAGAAATCTATAAGTGGTTCTCATTCATCGAGTAATAGATTTCTAAGATATAGTTGTACACCATTAGTCCTTAAGACCCAGACATCACCGTGACTTCACTAGAGGACCGATTGTATCGTGACCTGTCCCTGAGTCCCACCGCGGACCGCTCCAAGGGCCAACGTTCGTGCAATCCGAAATCTAGTGTGAAGTCTGTGCATTGTAGTAGGGGATTCGAGCGCTTGAGTAGTCATGGATGTCCTGTGTGTTCTGACGGTTTATAATCCATGAAATCTCTGGCCAGAGTTGATAGTGGGGTGATTAGGGAAATGTGTTTCCCTAAGTCGCACACGAACGGATTTATAATACCTAGAACGTTCGCACGGTTATTGAACTTTATAAGAGGTCTCGGTGAACCAATGCCTCTAGTTCAATCGGGACATGTGCTACGAAGGGATCGTACTGTACGCTAACTATATCATAAGGTTCTTGCAGGCACTTCATTTGTATCTAGGGAATCATGATGCGTAGTTGCTAGACGCCAATCTTGATTCGTTGGGCACCGATTTGATCGGGATTAGGTAAAATGAGTTTTACTCTAATCGGGACTCTTGGGAGGAGTTCGTATAAGAACAATATGTTGTTCGAATCACAATGAGTTGTGAGCCCACGGCTAGCATACACCTGAACCATTGAGGGTCACACTTCTCGTGTAACATGGATCCTTGATAACAATGAACATAGATTAATATGTTAATCTTTGCAAAGTTGGAGGTCAATATGATTGAGTCCAAGATTCGTGATTGTGGATTACGAGTCGGAATAAACGTAGAGAAAGAGATATGCGGAAATTAGTGAACTTTCTAAATTGAGAAGTTTCCCAATTTAGCAGGTCCACTAAAGTGGAAGTTTCCAATTTTGGAAATTGGAAATTTCGAAGAGGCACTCGTATCGACGAGGACTTTGAGCTCGTCACAAATATAATTTTGTTATAATTTTGTGGACGATCGTTTATTAGAAACGAGGCCGACGAGGGAATGGGCTTAATGCATCAGTGGGTCAAGCCCAATGACTTAAGCCCGCTAGGGTTGAAAACCCTAGGTATAAATAGACCTCAAACAAGAGTTTGAGATCAGATTTTTACACAACAAAACCCTAGCCGCTCAAGCCCTAGCCGTCCTCCCTCTCGGCCGCTGCTGCCCCGCCGCACCGCCGCCGTCCGCCGCCGGAATCCGCCGGTTTTTCCCTCTCCTTTCTCTATCGTATTCCCTTGTTATCTAACCCCTTTGTATCTAGTGCTACAGTAGGGGGAGATCCGTTTATTCGAGGTGAAACCTAATTGGAGAGGAGCTGCTGCCCCGACGGAATTGCCACACCGCCGCACGCGCCGCTGCACCGCCCACGCGCCGCCGCCGTTGTCACGCACGCGCCGCCGTCGCTCCACCTTCGGACCAGCTGCCGTTCGGTGGTGTTCCTGCAGCCCCGAGGATTGGTAATCGCAGCTTGTACGTGATTGGTTCTTGATTTCGATTCGTCGAAATCTCACGCTACAAGAGGTAAACAAATCGAAACTGTCGTAAATTAATTCGAACATATTTGTATGAATTGTAATTTATGATTATGAGTAATATGCGATTACGTGTTTCGATTTCATTAAATGATGTATAAGCATGTTTCGTGATTTTCGATTATACGTATTTTCAATTAAATCGAAAATTACCATATGTATGGCGGAAGCGTTAAGGTACGTTGACTATGTGATTAGTTTATGCATGTAATCGAAATTAGTTCGATCTAAAAATTTTAAATTCCGCTGCGTATACATGCACGATACCCAACAGTCCTGACACTCGTCGTTCGACATCGGGCTATTGCGTTTTCCTCGGCAACAACCTCATTTCTCGGTCCTCCAAACGACAGGTCACTACTTCTCGATCTAGTGCGGAGGCTGAATATCGAGCTGTCGCAAACGCCGTCACCGAAAAGACTTGGTTACACAACCTACTTTCTGAGTTGCTCTGCCCACTTTCGAAAGCCATCATTGTCTATTGTGACAATGTCAGTGCCGTCTACCTATCCAGCAATCCTATTCAACACTCTCATACGAAACATGTGGAGATTGATATCCACTTTGTCCGAGACAAAGTTGGTTTGGGACACGTTCGAGTTCTTCACGTCCCATCCGCCTACCAGTTCTTCACGTTCGAGTTCTTCACGTTCGAGTTCTTCACGTCCCATCTTTCTCCAACTTTATTTCTCCTATACCTTTGAATAACACTAGAGAAACATTAAGTATAAGGTTGTCCCATTTTCTTGCAAATTATTTCTCGTCGCTATCGCAATAAAACTATGTACTTCAACAGCTTACAATGTTGTTGATTTTGGGGCACTAGAGATGGAAAAACGGACTCAACGTCGTCCTTTCTTAAAGCTTGGAACGCAACATGCAACTCGGTTGCACCAGCTGCTGTAATGGTTGTCCCGAAAGGAACATTCTTGGTGAAATCAATATCTTTTACGGGTCCATGCAAAAGCAATATGAAGCTCTTAATATATGGAACTTTTATTGCTCCAAATGACTATCGATTTCTTGGCTCTAATGAGTTTTGGATTATGTTCTATCGAGTGGACGGGATATCGATCTTTGGTGGTACGATTGATGCTAAAGGATCTAGCTTGTGGTTTTGTAAGAGTAGAGGAAACAATTGTCCGTCCGGAGCAAGGGTACGTTGGCCATTTCACATTTTACATTTATCATATTTCCTTTTTCGGAAAATAGTTTTTTTTCCTTTCAAGTCAAATTAATTTATGCTCAATCATAACTCATAAGTATCTTGAATGCAACGATTTGCAGTTGATATCGTTCCAATCGTGCAACAATGTGCTACTTAGAGGATTGAAATCTTTCAACAGCCAAAGAGTTCATATTTCGATCAACAGGTGTTGGAATATGTTTTTACAAAAAATGAAAATCGTTGCACCTAGTCGAAGCCCTAACACGGATGGAATCCACATTGAATCTTCGACGGGTATTACGATTAGCAACAGCAATATTGGGACATGAGACCACCGCATATCCATCGGGCCGGGCTCCATGAAATTGCGGGTGGATAAAATTTCATGTGGGCCCGGACATGGCATCTGGTACTTTAAGAAATTTAATTTGAAACGGGCCAAGCCGAAATAAATTTTTGAATTTCGTCCACTATGGTCCTGCAATATTTGACCTTGAAAAAAAAAAAATTTGGTTCCAAATTCTTTTTTTTTTGAAGAGAATTGGTTCCAAATTCTAATAATTTTATATCCGAAAACTCTGAGAGAGTAGGTCGATCAGAATTCCGATATAAGTTTTCAGAAATTTTAATTTTCTTTCTGTCTGAATTTCATTTTCAGAAATAATTTAGGAAGTTTCGTACTATTTTTCGAGATATTTATATTTCTATATATTTCTTATCTAATGGAATAAACAACATTGGAAGTCCAGGTAGAAATGCAAGGGAGTATGGAGTGCAAGATGTGAACGTAATGAATTCAATCTTCGTAAAGACTGAAAACGGAGTTAGGGTGAAATCATGGCCGAGGGCAAGTGACGGATATGCGAAGAATATTTTATTCAAGAATCTCGTCATGAAAAACGTCTCGAATCCCATAATCATTGATCAAGAAGACTATTGCCTTCGTCAGAGTTGTTCTCCTAACATGCATTTACGACACCAGCGTCGAATTTAATATTTTATTCAAGGGTGTTCGAAATTAAAATGAAAAAAAAAAATTATAAGGTACATTTTATATATGGAAAAAATACAGTTTTTATCACGTTTGGTCCCCATGTTTGCAAAATACACATATTGGTCCCTCATGTTTCATTAATGTAACAGTTTTGGTAATTTCCGTCAATTTACCGTTTGTTTGTTAGTTAAGAAGTGCTTGGCACACCCTCGATCTTGTTAGATTTAACAGAGAATTGACGAAAATGACTAAAACTGTTGAATTTATGAAACATGAGGGACCAAATGTGTTTTTTTTTTTTTTTTGTGAACAGGAGGGACGGATTGTGAAATCGGTGCGAACGTGAGAGACGAAAGCTATATAGGAAAAATAAAGTTTTTGTACCTTAAGTTTGCACCAATTTCAAATTTGGTCCCCATGATTACAAAAAACACATTTGTTCCCTAATGTTTAGAATCAAGCGTGTGTCCATCACTGTCTTAACTAACGGAAAATGTCAAATTATATATATATATATATATATATATATATATATATATATATATATATATATATATATATATATATATATATATATATATATATATATATATATATATATAGATATATATATATATATATATATATATATATATATATATATATATATATATATATATATATATATATATATATATCCGGGATAACACAAACTCCACATTGGTATGATATTGTCCAGATTGGTCTGAGCCCAACTGGTTTTGCTCTTGGGTTTCCCCAAAACGCTTTATACCAATAGAGTTGTTATCCCAACCTTATAAAGGAGTGATATTTCTCATATTAAACCGATGTGGGACATTGTTTGCACCTGAACAATCCTCCCCTCGAACAAAGGACCACCACATAGGTCGGACCACAAAAAGACCACCTCCCCTCCCCTCAATTTGCGCCTGGGGCTCACACAATCTTTGTTTCAGAGCGCACCGAGCCTCGAACAAAGGAATACCGAGACTCCTACCTGGAGCTCGTCGAGCCGCCTGCTATTTGCGCACCGAGAGCTCACCATTTTGGTTCGGCACCTAGGATTCGGGAATTTTACACAGATTCCGACAATTCCCACCACATGGTTAGGTCTGGGCCATAACTCTGATACCACTGTTGGGTATCTGCCTAGCTCCATATCAAATATATATGTATAAATTCCCCTTTAACAATATTGATTACTGCATGGAAAAGATATACATGTGTGAATGCAGAAAAGAAGAACATGCTGAATAAATTGAAGAGAATAATAATAATAATAATAATAATAATAATAATAATAATAATAATATCAGCTCAGTCTTCCAATTATTTCACACGAGAGATTCCACATAGGATTTCCACAATACACTACCAGAGTACCACAAGAAGAACAAATCTTCTTTTCCACTCTCACTCAAATCCTAGTTTTACCCAGAACTCCACGAAGGAAAACACAGATCAAACACTCAAGTTTACACACTCACCAAAACCCCCGTTCAGAGGTCACAAAAGAAAAAAAAAACTGAAGGATCTAGGTCGAGTATAGGTTTAGATCGGAGTCTTATCTTCTTCCAACCTTCATACCCGTATATATAGAGACAGAAGTCAAAAATAGCCTGTGAAGGCTGTAATGGAGAGTCAAAGTTAGCCATGTACCATGAGCTTTGACCTCCACCCCTGACAGAGTCAAGACAATACAAGGGAGGAAGAAGACAGAAGCAGGATCGACGGAGAAGATGAAGAAAGACCTAGGGTTGCAGAAATGAGAGGTGAGAGTAGAGAAAAGAGGGTATTTAAGTGAGGAAATGAACGGCCAAGATTAACCACAGAAATCCAACGGATGAATTTGGTCAAATTAGGCTTGGACTCACTAACCCTCTCTTGGGCTTCTAATGGTGGTGTATTATAAGGGAGAGAAATTGGGTTTCTAGCCCAAAACATAGTTGGGCCATACAAAAAACCAACAATTCTCCACCTTAGACCAAATGTGTGTCATTAGTAAAATTTCTATGAATTTTGGAAGTCATCATTACTTATTTTTGACATAGGTAGAAATACACAGTTTATACAAGTATATCATGTTATAGTCACTCAGAATACAACTCACATAGATTACATACATTTACAAAAAATGAAGTAGTGCAATCACATAGCAAGCATGAGATCATTCACACATAATAGATTCATATATCAATTACAAAGAAAGCAAAAGTACAGTCACATAGACCATATTTATAACAAGCACACAACATGTCAAGATTTTGAAATGATGTTCAAGTTTTTCAAACAATAACAGAATTTTTCAGAAGGTAGACACTTAGTCCTCATGTCAGCTGGATTGAACTCAGATGGGATTTTCTCAAGATCAATAACCCCTTGTTCAACTATATCACGAATGAAATGGAACTTAACATCTATGTGTTTAGTTATATATGTCATGAAAAACAGGGTTTTTGCACGGTTGGATGCCAGATTGGCTATCATAAAATACTACCACTTTAGTGTTAAGTATATCAATCTCCAATAACATCACCTTAAGCCAAATTGCTTCTTTTATAGCTTCAGTAACAGCTATATATTCAGATTCAGTAGTAGAGAGAGCAACAATGTATTGGAGTTGAGATTCCAACTAACACAAACACCATTCAAGGTGAACACATAAGAGGTAGAATATTTTCTATTATCCCTATCATTAGCAAAATTTGAATCCACATAGCCACATAGTTCAATCTCAGCTTTGCCCTAAGAAAACATTAAACCAGTATTAACTGTACCTTTCAAATATCTAAGCAGCCATTTTAATGCCTCCCAATGAGGCAAATCTGGATTAGACATATATCTACTCAAGCAACTCACATAATATGCAATGTCAGGTCTTGTACTAACCACCAAATACATCACAGACCCAATGGCATTAGCATATGGCACTTTTTTCATTTCAGAGATTTCAGGTTCAGTTTTGGGAGACTGTTCCTTACTTAGCAAAAAAATGAGAAGCAAGAGGAACAGATACAGATTTGGCAGACAACATAGAAAATTTATCAAGGATTCTTTCAATGTAGGAGGATTGATTCAAAAACAAAGTACAACCAGGTCTATCTCTGATTATATCCATGCCAAGTATCATTTTTGCACCACCAAGAACTTTTATATCAAACTCATCGCTAAGGAATTTAATCACATGATTAAGAGTTTGAATGCAAGGACTAGCAAGTAACATATCATCCACATAGATAAGCAAGAACACAGTGATTTGAGCAGATTCTTTAAAATATAAGCAGGGGCCAAAAGAGCTTCTTTTAGATTTTGAACACATCAAGCAAGCATCAAACTTCTTGTTCCACTTCCTAGGTGACTATTTCAGTTCATAAAAAGATTTCTTCAACAGACACACATAATCATGATGTTTTTTGTTAATAAAACCTTCAGGCTGACTCATGTATATTTGCTTATCTAATTCACCATGCAGAAATGCAGTTTTCACATCCATTTTTTTTAATTCCCAATCAAAATGAGCAATTAAAGCAAGCATAATTCTGACATTAGTGAATTTCACAACACGAGCAAATATCTTTGCATAATCAATACCTTCCTTTTAGGTAAACCCTTTAGCTACTAGCCTAGCTTTGTATCTAACAGAATCAGATTCATGTTTGACCTTGAATAACCACTTAGAGTCAACTAAAGAGCATGTAGGAGGTTTAGGCACAAGAATCCAAGTATGATGAACATATAAAGACTTCATTTCATCATTCATAGCATTTAACCACGCAGCAGATTCATTAGAATTCAAAGCTTGTCTATAAAACTTAGGTTCATTACGATCTACAGATTCAAACACATGAAACATATGAGAAGCCAGTTCATAATCATTCAAATGATGAGGCCTAACAATTTTTCTCCTATTTTTGTCCCTAGCAAGTTGATAATCACCAAGATCATTCACATGGGGTACATCAAGATTATCATTTTGATCAATAACATTATTTTGAGGCGTATCAGTATTATCAACTTCATCTTCAGAGTTATCAGTTTCAATTTGAATAGGGTGAACAAGTGGAATGTCCACCTTATTAGAAGTAGTATCAGGGAAAGCAACATTAGGAGCAGATAAGCAAGGAAATTCATTTTCATTAAACACAACATTCCTGCTAATCTCAGTTTAGAAACCCTGATCACCTTACAACCAACACATATAACCCTTAACCTCTTCAGGGTATCCTAAGAAAACACATTTTACAGATCTGGGGTCAAGTTTATCAAGTTATTTATGAACAAACACAGAGCAACCAAAAACTTTCAAATTTGATAAGTCAACAGGTTTACCACACCACTTAGATTCAGGTAATTCACCATTCAAAGGCACAAGGAGACCTATTTATCAAATAAGCAGCTGTAAGAACAGCTTCACCCCAAAAAGAGTTTTCAAGCCAGATGAATTTAACATAGATCTAACTCTATCAAGTAAGGTTATGTTCATTCTTTCTGCAATTCCATTTTGTTGAGGTGTATAAACAACAGTTTTGTGCATTTTAATGCCAGAATCTATCAAGGTTTTCCAGTTTTTAAATCTATCACACACATCATATTTATTCTTGAGTAAAAACACAAATACTTTTCTAGAAAAATCATCAACAACATACAAGAAATATTTATTACCACCATGGGAAGGAACTGGGGCAGGACCCTTCACATTAGCATGCACATATTCAAGTATGTCTGATCATTTAGAAGCATTTGGGAATGGAGAGATAGGAAATTTAACCTTAGATTGTTTCCCTAGAATGCATGAGTCACATATAGGCACATTAGTCACACAATCATCACTAAGATAATTATTCTTATGCAGAATTTCAAGACCTTTACCATTTATATGACCCAATCTCTTATGCCACAAAATAGACATGTTATGATTCACAAGGTTGGCATGCAAAACAGGTTCAACAGAACACACATAGAGGTTTTGCATTCTAACAGCTTTGAAAACAAATTTATCA